TAATCAGTCTTGGCCAATAAAAAATTCTATTCTATTCCATTCTACTACCTATCCTTCATTATTTGTCTTCTACAAATCCCTTTGCATTTGAATTCATCATGGTGTGATGGAGGGGCTTTGCTATACAACCTCCCTCACAGAGTTCTGAAGGAGCTGGCAGATGTTATCCCAGAACCATTGTATCATATCTTTAAAAAATCTTGGAGCACTGGGGAACAACCAGAGAATTGAAAAAGGGTTGATGTGGTTCCCATCTTCAAGAAAGGGAAAAGAAACTCAGGAAACTACAGACCAATCAGTCTAACATCAATATCTGGGAAGATTCTGGAAAAGATAATCAAAAAACAGATCTGAGAACAACTAGAAGCAAACAAACTTATAACTGGTAGCCAGTACTGGTTTGTTAAAAACAGATCATGCCAAACCAATCGTATTTCATTCTTTGATAAAGTGACCAAATTAGTAGACCAGCAAAACTCTGTGGACATAGTATACTTAGATTTCAGTAAGGCATTCGACAAAGTAGATCACAATTTACTGCTTGGTAAACTAGAAAAAGGTGGAATAGACAACATCACCACCAGATGGATTTGTAGCTGGCTGACAAACCATACTCAATGAGTAGTCCTCAATGGTATTACATCCACATAAAGAGAAGTAAGCAGTGGGTACCACAAGGCTCCATCTTAGGCCCAGTACTTTTCAAGATCTTCATCATGACTTAGATGAGGGAATAGAAGGGGAATTCATCAAATTTGTAGATGACACTAAACTGGCAGGAATAGCCAACACCCCAGAAGACCAACTAAGGATTCAAAAAGATCTTAACTAACTGGAACAATGGGCCCTATCCAACAAATGAGTTTTGATGTGAGAAAAGCAGAGTTTTACATTTAGGCAGGAAAAATCAAAGATATAAGTACAGATTAGGTGAGACCTGCCTCAAAAACAGTAACTGTGAGAGGGACCTTGGAGTCCTAGTGGACCATCACTTGACTATGAGCCAGCAATGTGCACCAGCAGCCAAAAAAGCTAATACAATCCTGGGTTGCATAAACAGAGGCATAAAATCAAGATCACACAAAATATTAGTATCGCTTTATAAAACCCTAGTGAGACCACACCTGGAATACTGCAATCAATTTTGGTCACCATACTACAAAAACGATGTTGAGACCTTGGAAAAAGTTCAGAGAAGAGCAACTAAGATGATCAAATGCCTGGAGACTAAAACATATGAGAGACTAAAACATATGAAGAATAGCTCCAGAACTTGGGTTTGGCTAGCCTAAAGAAAAGAAGAAATAGGGGTGACATGATAGCAGTATTGCAGTATTTGAGAGGCTGCCACAAAGAAAAGGGGGTCAAATTATTCTCCAAAGCACCAGAGGGCAGGATAAGAAACAACGACTGGAAACTGATCAAAGAGAGAAGCAACCTGGAATTAAGGAGAAAGTTCCTAACAGTGAGGACAATTAACCAGAAATTGTGGGTGCTCCATCACTGGAGATTTTTAAGAAGAGACTGGACAGTCACTTGTCTGAGATGGTACAGGTTTGAGCAGGGGGCTGGAATAGAAGACCTCCAAGGTCCCTTCCAGCTCTATTCTATTCTATTCTATTCTATTCTATTCTATTCTATTCTTATTCTATTCCTTCTTTTATTTTCTTTCTTACTCTCTTCCTGTCCTATGTCCTATATTAAGTACTGACAAACTTGTTGATGAAACCTTCCCTAGACCTCTCTTTCATTCATATTACTGGCCTGTGTCTCTGCTTCTTCTTTTTCTTTTTTTTAGTTTAAAATCTTTGACACAATTGGTTTCCAATATAAATTCTATAGCTTTTCCTAACCATATCAATCAGGATTTGGGGCTGGTCATTCAACTGAAATAATAGTTGCTCAGGTATCAAATGATACTCTGGTATATCAAGTGTCCAGTTGCACTACTGGTTCTTGGGCTTCACTCAGTCTTTTGTGTCCTTCCATTATAGACAGTGTACACAGCAGATAACAGTACTCGGCCTTGGCTTCTATAGCAACAGGATAAGTGAAACCAGGAGATTGTTAACCTCTCATGTCAAAAGGGCTATTACTGATTATATGGTTATAAATTATAATCGTAGCCAGAGGCAGTATACGGTACTTCTAAATACTATGAATATATATGGGGAGCATTAATGCAACAATGCTGCTCTCCTCATAGACAAAATAATTTTCATATGTTTTTGCTAGGCCTCTTTGTTGCAATCTTCTTAACTGATTTTATTTATGCATTCATTAGATTTATATCCCACCTTACTTTCAGGAGCTCAAAACTGTATACATAACTTTTCTTCCTCCAATTTTTTGTTGCTACATCAATCACTTAAAAGATAGGATGAGCTGAGAGGTAATATTTAGGTCTGTATGAATCTGACACTTTCCTGTCCTCATTTATTATCTAATAACCATACTGCACGCAGCTTAACCAGAAACACCTGGTTTAGCATAACAAATCAAAACAATTTTAACTTGTAATGTAAAACACCACAATTCTTGAGATTATACAAATATATCTTAGGAAAATATTTTAAAAAATGGAGGGGCATGTTCTAACAATCCTCTGCATAATATTTTAAAGGGAGAAAGGTAAAGAATGTGGACCTTGAAGCAGATTTTAAAGTTAGGCAGGCTTATATTTGAGAAGAGCCTTAGTATATACTAGTCCTTATACATTTAGTTTAATTGATGTTATCAGAGCAAAACAAGAAAGGTTAAAAATGTACTTTGAATAGTGTATTTTGGTTTAAGTTGCTGAAATGTGAACCATTTGAAGTCTCCAGCGATAGCACTGATATTACCTAAGTATCTTTAGACTAGAATAACTGTGGAAAGTTAATATTTTTCCATGAGAAGTTATACTGGAAGCCAGGATTATTTCCATACGAATATAAAAATCGAATTTGTTACTGTTAAACCTTTTAATTTAAAGGAACATTGGACAAACTAAACCAATATCTGATTACATCATTTAATATGCTTCTGCTGCTGTGCAATTGAAATTGGACATATTGTGTATTTGCCAAGTTTAGAAAAAGACAAAGAAAAACACACATCAAGCTAACTGTAGCACTATTCTGATGATTAAAAATCTAGTGTTTATTTACACATTGTTGCTGTATGTCTATATAGAAAATGCATATACATACCAGGAACCTGATTTTGGTTTTGATTGTTATGTTGACCGAAGTATTACTATACTGGTTTTACATCTTAAAGGCTTATATGGACACACCATGTAATTGATAAACATCATCCAAATAATCCAAATTACACTGCATATTTAATGGAATTTATTGCTTTAAGATATTAGAAGAACTGATGTCTTAGAATGTAATCCTAACTACATGATATTGATTTCTTAAGAGTCAAGAATTAAGTCAATGTATTGGTCCATCTACTAGATTTTTGCAGAGACCAGATTCTGAGACACCCAAGTCAAGAAGAAAGCTGCTGCTAATGGCTCAAAGTAAAGCACAATAAAATTGATTTAAGGTTGAGACAAATGCTTTACAAAAAAAATCATAAGCAGCCATTACCACCTTCCTCTTGCTCAACTCTTCTGATGGTGTCTAGGTGTATTTCTTTCCACCAATAAGCAGTGGCAAGAGGCAAAAATGCAGATATTAGCTATTCCTGGCAACCGCTCCATTGCTTCTTTGATAGGCCAGCAAGTTTCAGAATAGGGCAAGAATTCTAGCATGTTTCACTTGACTAGTTCTACACTATACCAATTTTGATGAATAAATTTGGGCTGTCTATTCCCATCCTATCTCAAATTAAGGCATTGTTATTAATGTTTAAAATTCTAAACCAGCGGTTCTCAACCTATGGGTCGCGACCCCATTTGGGGTCGATCGACCATTTTTCGGGGGTCGCCAAAGAAGGCGATCCGCCATTTTCTCCCGTCAGGGGGCGGGGCCGCGCATGCGGCCGCGCATGGGGGCGTGGCCGCACATGCGCGCGGCACCACCCCCATGCGTGCAGCGCCGCGCATGCGCAGAACGTTTGTGTGACGGGGGTCGCCGTCACACAAACGTTGAGAACCATTGTTCTAAACAACTTCTTCTTCTTGTGCCATATCCATTATCAGACATTGGCGATCATGTTGGCGATCCTGTTTTTATCAGCAGCCGCACGAAAAAGTGCTGCTGAGTTTTGTCCAAACCAGTCCCTTAGATTTTGAAGTCACGATGTTCTTCTGCCTGGACCCATTTGCCTTCAATCTTTCCCTGGAGGATTAAATGGAGTATGACGTATTTTTCTGGGTGCCGCATCACATGTCCGAAATATTCTAATTTTTGTTTTTTAATTGTTTTGATGGTTTCTCTTGGCTTTCCCAGGCGGCTTATGGGGTATCTAAATGAGCCCCTTAAGGCACTGAGGCAAGGACTTTGATGGGTCCCTATATCTTTCTATTTATTTTACATGACTGAAATCCCAAAGACCTTTGGGCTGTATGCCAAATTAAAAATCCAAATGAGCATCAACAACAAAGAAAAACAAGGATCAAACACAAGGTTGGCACCCTCAATCACTTGGGAATCCAAAGCATCTTGAAATAAAAAAGATTTAATCTGTTTAGAGAACTTCAGAAAAGGGAAGGCTGCATATACTTTGTGCGGCCAGTATTCCATAAAGTGGGGTGAGGGTAGGCTATTCCATGCTCCAGAATGGGAACGGAACGTCCTTTCAGCAGGCCTTCTCTCAGTGAGACCAGGTGGCATTTAATTCTGGTATATCACTGTATTTGGGTGCTGTGCCACTTAAGGCTTTAAAGGTTTACGGTTAGGTGGAACCAAGTGAGTGGGCGGCAGGATAAACAGCCTTTCTAAGAAGATGTTCTAGGGTTTTTGCCAAGACAATATTTGTCCGTAGACGGAGAAATTGCTTTATTGTACCTTTATGTATTGCTTTATTGTACCTTTATGTATTGCTTTATTGTACCTTTATGGTCTGTTGCCTTTTATTCACTCAGAGAAGGAGGAAAAGGTGAGAGGATTAATACAGAGGGGAAAGTCTTCATCCTCCGGGATCCAAGTCCAGCATTCCCGAAGGTTTCCCTGCTTCTCCGTGGCAGGTGCGTGGGCCTTGGCACCTGCGAGCCTTCGCAAGATACCGCAAAATACCTTGAGAATCCGGGGTTCCACCTCCAACCTCAGGGAAGGCGCCCGGAATTGATCCAGTCCCTCCGCCCGAGCATCCTGTGCGAACCGACGATCAAGAGCGCGGGGCGAGCGCCTGCGCCGGGAGAAGCCACCCGGAAAGAGGGGGCGGGAAAAGAGAGGCGTCACGTGCGTAAGCGCCACGGTCCATCCCAAGAGTGCTGCAGCCTCACTCGGCGCCGGTTCTTCTGCCTTTTTCCATCTCCCTGCCCCGGGCAGGGGAGTCGTCCCCAGAGAGGCGGGGCTTGAAGATAGACACCCAGAGATAGAGATTTAAATTTCATTTCCACCTTGAGTAGGGCAGCAGCAGCAGCAGCAGCAGCCCCGGCGAAGAGCCAGAGACTCGCTTGTTCTGAGCTGACCTAAGCTAAGCCTGCCGGTTTCTGCTGCTGCTGCTGCTGTTGCCGCTGCTACATCTGCTGCAAAGTCGCCCGCCCGCCTGCTTGCCTGTCTGCCAGCTGGCCAGCCATGGGTCACTCTGGAGAGCCGGGCCTCATAGCCAACGTGGTGAACGACACCTTGGAGTTCTACCGCTGGACCTGGAGCATCCGAGGTAACCAAGCGCCAAGCTTTTGTTAGTCTCTCCTCAGCCTCCTCCCGATGCGCCGGCACTTGGCCTGTTTTCCCGTTAGCGCTCCTGGCTATGCAGCACCTGCCGTCTCCTCTCTCCGCCCCAAGGCGACCGGTTCCTCCGGCCCCGCCGCAGCCGCCGCCTTTCTCACCACTTTCCCATCCAGGGTATCAAGAGGGGACTCCTTCCCTCCCCGCCCCATCCCCAATTCGTCCTTTGCTTGTCACTGTCGCACAACGGTCAAAATGGCTCCGTGTCTCCTTCTTATCTTGTCTAAACCCGGTGGCTGCGTGACAGGAGGCGGCAAACTCAAATGGAATCCTTTTAGTAGACATTGGGGGGGGGGGGTTCTTCTCACATTTGGGGAGAGGGTGGGAAACCCTGGTCCTAAGCAGAGAAGAAATAGCCGTTCCATTTAAGTTTGCGGTCAGGGATGCTGTTCCGTTTCCTTTTTTAAATTTTGTACTAGGCAGCCTTCTAATGAGAGTAGATAGTGGACACTTACCAAGCATTTAGAATGAGTTCTAAATTCTTTCTCTGAAAGCTGGTGCTAAATCATAGCCAAGGACTGGTGGTGGTTGCTGCAGAGCTGTTCTAAAACACTGACCCTATTAACCGTGAACATGCCAAGGAAAAAGAGCTGCTGCTCACAAGCTTCTCTAAGAGAGAGAGAGAGAGGGAGGGAGGGAGAGAGAGAGAGATGGAGATGTTTGGAAAGTGCTAACTGTAAGTGTAACATCTGAAATATGCTTACCACAACTTCACAAGCCATAAATGTTATGTCTATGGAGGTGCCAAGTTGACTAGCTATGCTGACTGGGAATTACTGAAAATTGATAGTCAATACATCTGAAAACTGGGGAAATGCAAATTGGGGAAAATGAGACTAAAAGTATGATCCAGTGGCATCCTTTGCACTCTGAAGTGAATGTACCATTAATAAATCCTTAGGTATGTTCTTCCTTCCTTCTCCCTCCTCCCCACCCCCCCTTTTATGTTTCTATTTGTCCCTTTTTATCGTAGTCAAATCATTGCTGATAATGCATTCTAATTTTCATGGTGTAGTTAAGTTTAATCCTAAACTAACAGTTTATTTCAAAAAGGAATGAAAAGTATAAAAAAATAGCTAATAGACTTACATCAAATGTGTCTAATGATACAGAAGGGTATCTTTTAGGATTGGCATGGCAGATGCAAGAAGACAATAGAACAAGATGATCACATGGCTTGTTTATTTTGAAGTATAACTTTGTTCAGTAGACTTTACCCCCAGATAAATTACCTAAGGTTGCAGCCTTAGATTGCTTCTTGTCTTATACATCAGCAAATAGCTTTGTTCTGCATGAATGATAAATGAAACAATACAAGGATAACCAGATATTTGACATTTTCATGCTTATGACTGCAGATGGTATGCATACATGTTATTCAGCAGCCAGGATTGCATTTTATAATATGAATGGCCAATATCTAATTTTAAATGCTAGGATGATTCTACAACATACTGTATGGATTTGACTACAGGGAATAATAAAATTCATAAGGTGTAGGTTATAAATTTTAAGAGTTCATAAGTAAATTCTGGCACTTATTGGACAAAGCCATTCTCACTTCAGATACTTTGTTTTGTGTACCATCTGCCTAGTTATTCTTTATTATTTTTCGCTTTTAGTCATACTTCAGATATATTCATCGAACATCAACACTTTAAACATTGAATGAAATAGTGATGTATTTACACAGAGCCACTTTCTTTCTTGTGCTTTTAACATTTTCACAGTCATGTTAATAATTTCTGAAAACAAATTGTTAATAATATGGATTTATCACCTTTTTAAATAACCTCGTGATTGTTACTTTGTACTCCATACTACATTGCCAGAATCTCACTGAACTATAATAATTCTAAACTGTCAAGAGTAGTATAATGTGGCCTTCTATTAGAAAACAATTTATTATTTCCTTCTCTTTAGAAAGCCTAGCTGTCGTCTGGATAATTTAAAAAATGTTGCCTAACATCTCATGCTGAGCATACTAATTTGTATTTTATTAAGTAATAAAGCAACGTCTGAGACTGGTATATGTATATCTGGCATAATCTGATGTTCCCAAAGTTCATTATGTTTAGTTACAATACTTAAAACACATTTTTCAGTATATTGGTTATCTTGAAGCTCTTGAAATGAGGTGGATATAATTTAGATGAAGAAAAACATAGAATTTCCATTGTATTGCTAGGCAGATGAATGGGCTGGATCTAGCAAAATCTTATTGCAGAAAGAAACTTTTTTTTTTTGGTCTGTGGAAGACTTTTGATCCAATAAAACTTTTTCACTGCTTGAAGTGGGCAAGAAATCATATATTCAACTATTCTTTCCCTTTGCAATCCTCTGAAAGTCTGCTCCAGAGATTTGGAAAGCTTCCAGAGAATAAAGGAGATGATGGTATGGATGCAGAGGATAGGACATTTAAGAAAAATCTTTCCTTCCATTATGAAGATGGGAACAGGCAGAGAGCAGCTCTAAAGCTGAATACTGGTGGTAGAAAAAAACCCTCTAGATTCATTATGAAGGAATTATATTAGGAATATGAGTAGATTCTGGCCATTAGGGTATGTGTGTTTCTATATTCTTAATATAGCTTCTATATTTGTGTGTGTGTGTGTGTGTGTGTGTGTAAAATATTCAAAACTATATTTGCACTATTCAATAGAGTTATAAAAATATGATTTCATAATTATATGGGAGGAGTTGCATGACTTCTGTTTATATCATTGACTTTTGAAACTAATGATATTAATTTTAAAAAAACAAACCTGTTTGTGTGAATGACAGTAATAAAGTGATTGTTTCCTATTATTCTAAATAACAATTTTGGCCTTTATTGACTTTGCCCAATCACTTAATACTCTTCTAGACATTGTCATCAAATGCATTGTTTACATAATTGTTATCAGTAATTCCATTCATTCCTATTACCATTAATAGATATTTTTAACAAGGGGTTTGGCAGAGTGGATAGGACAAATAGTTTTCTGAACTCTTCCCAGTGAGTTCATAGTTAAAGATTTTTTTTATTATTATTATTTAGAACTTCATATTCTTAACTACTACTGACCTTGGTTATCAGTTTTACTTTATCTAAGTTTTATTTTGGAAAAAGAGTGGATCAAATGCTTCTATTTCTATTGTCCTGTAATCTCACCATAGATTTGCTCCTACAGTTCTTTTTATTTATCATGAGAGAGTTTAGAAAAGTAGACTAATCTGAATGAAGCTTCCATTGGACAGGTGGTAGGTTTGGTCCTTCAAACAGCTCTTTGGATTCCAACCTTCCACTTTTAACCAATTGAAAAAAGGAACACATTCCATATAATCTTCTGAAAACAAAATGCCCAAAGTATCTGACTGCAGTAATGTGACTTTCTTTGAACCTGAACATAGGATTCTCTGATAATGGCAATGGTGCTGCTGAATGGATGAATCAGTACACCTATTGCTGTTCCACAACATTTTCAATCAACAACATCTTGAAATTATAACCCAAGACTTTTCTGGCCTTGCCCAGCAACCCTATCATAAAGGTCTGGCCATGTTTAGCTATTGCTCAACTCATGAAATATTTCACCACATTGCAAACATCCCTGTACAGCCACATTGCACAACAAATGAAGAAATTTTATTCTCAGACACCTACACAGTTTCTCTCCATTGTTTTCAACATTCTTATAGTTCTAAAATCAGATTCTCAAATTATTCCTTCCCAACTCTAATCAGATGCCAGAGGGCCAGTTCATGCAATTGTGTCCTCACTAAGTTGTGGGGGTGAGGTGATGGTGTAATAATTGGAAGTTAGTTATAAAGAGTGTGTCATGGTTCTGCTTCCCTGCAATTTCAGCTTAAATTTTGGTCTATAAAGGGACATCCCGAGTAATTATTGTACTTCCTAACCTTTTTATGATGAAATAGAAAGGATGGAAGTGAATCCAGCAAGAGAACTTTCTTCTTTTAAGTCTAGTATATGAGATTTGAATTTTACTTCTTGTCCAAATCTATGGATAGTTAATTTCTTATTTTTCAAAATTATTTATTTCCCACTGTTTCTATAAATTAAAAACTTGCAGGGTGCAGATAATCAAAAAGTATCGGGGGAAAACATTCAGTAGCTTACAGATTAGTAATGTCAGTAATGTAATGATTTATAACATTATTGAAGTGATACATCAGATTGATTTTGTTCTATATATTTCAAAATGGCCCCCAAAACAGACTTCTGAAAAACATAGATCTTCTACCGGTATGTATAAATCTAGTACAACTTAATATATAAAAAAATTTAAGAGGGTTTTTTTTTATAAGATCCCTTTCAATAGTGTTAAGACAGATAACCAAATTCTAAGCAATATCGGAAGTCATTTTAGAAATTAGCTTCAAGAATGAATAAGTAAGGTATAGGCAGCAATACAAATCAAAATGACTTTTTCAAAAAATGAACAATAAAAAATGAAACTCTTTTCTGCAAGTAAAGTGACATTTATGCTAAATGTCATCCAATTTATTGCTTCGTTATTAATATCAAACTAACCTGTTTTTCTGTTTAAAAAATCATAAAGATCTAAACTGTAGGTACTATCACAGAGCTATTACTCAGTGAAATTTGTAATTGTACACTACTACACTTATGCCACAATTAAAGAGAATGTGGTTAGGCTATCAGAATAGAAATCAGGAGACCATGAGTTCCTATCCTGCCTTAGGCATGAAAACTGGATGAGTGACCTTCAGCCAGTCTCTCTCTCTCTCTCTCTCTCTCTCTCTCTCTCTCTCACACACACACACACACACACACACATGGAATATTAGATATGTTCACCACCTTGTATTGTTTATAAAAAGAATAAAGACAAGATGTAAATAAAATAAATAAACAGCAAATAAAATGTCTAACTTCTGTCAGTGAGGACCATTAGGCTGATGTTATAT